ACACGGGTCGGATTTATTTTAGTAAGAAGCGATTCAACTGTAGGCCTCTGTAAAATGTAGAGTTTTTAAACTGATACACCATATTAGATTATCCGTTTTTCTGTCATGCAACTATATAAATTATTAGTTTTTGATGTTGCTAACAAAGGAATTATACAATACATATGAGTATAATAAATGTTTTATGAGGTAACGAATCTTCACCAGCTTATGTAATTCGTATATATTTTAAATACGATCAACCATAGCCCTTATTGATAGACAATATTTGCTGGTCAAAATTTATGGACGAAACCAAGATTTGTATTAAAATACTCATACTTCTTGTTCGATGAGTTCAACTATTCTCATGAAACATTTTGTTTTTGTCCAGTTTCTTTTAATATTGTTATGGCTTCTACTACTCGACAATTTCATGTAGCTGTGTTAATACGGTGTAATAACTTGACCAGAAGCATAGTTTAATAATGACTAGAAAACACACAATTACAGGCTTTAATCTTGATAGTTACTGAGTTCATCAGTAATTTTCAGAGTCAATTACATTGTAAATTATCATACTAAAATTACCAAATAATAATAGTATACTTTTATAACTCTTGACAGACTAATGGTTTTATCAACACGAATGGCGGCGATTTACATTTCTAATTTGTGGGAATGATAATATCTTAAACTACAAACCCAAATAAATTAATCTTGAACCAGACGCTTTATGAAATCGGAGACTTAAATCTAATATTTCTTCTTGTAAATACTAAATAAACTTTTAAATTTACTAAGGAAGAACACAAATTAAAGCATTCCTAACTCTATCAAAAGTCAAACTCACTCTAGATCTTGTCTCTATATGAATTACTTTACAAGTAAATTTCAGAGACTTTGAATTGGTTTGCCGAAATCTGCCTGTGAAATAAAATCATTAGCATCGTACTATCGCTACATAGATAAGCACATATTCTTTGACACTGGTTTAAAGCTATATTCGATATCACTAGCGAAAATATAGGGATGTTAATTATTTGATCGTTGTTGCTACTGAATAAACGGCAGATCAACCACAACATCATGATGTATAATAAGTATATTTGATTAAAAACATCAGTTATTTATTAATTCTGTCATTCATAAATCTAGTCAGATTGTTAGTTCAGGACAAAATTATTTCAGTATTCAACCTTATTTATGTTGATATACATATGAACGGATGTGATGTTCATCATCAGATGCCAAATTATCTGAAAATGAGCATACAATTTTATTTTACCATAAATCTTCGAAAATTCTGTTTCCCCTCAAATGGGTTTATAACGATTCATTGTTGGGGATTTACAAACAAACAAACAAACTAATTCATTCTCTCTAGTTGTTGATTATTTCAGTGTGACGATAAGCATAAGTAAAAACGGATTGTTTATAGTTAATGTTCCAAGTTTTACTTTGATTTTTTAAAACTTTCGAATGGCGTTTCTTAAGTCATAGGTAGACAATTTTTTATTAAAAAGTTACTTAGTAAAAGTTAAATATGTGTTATTTAGTAAGTGGTAATCAGCTCGCTTGAAGGAGACTAGATGTCATATCGCATACTTCGGTCTAAATATTTTTTATCCATTTCAACTAATTAATTTTACGCCAACTAGCATTGGTCTATTCATTGTTTCTTGATTAAAACTCCTTAGAAATCCTCGAGCGAGATTGTGAGGTCCCGTATCGTAACAAGAAATATACAGCATATGTGAAGATTTCAAGCCGATGTTATTATCTTACTCATGCGGTAGTAGGATATTCGGAAAGTGAAAGAAATCTAGTGTTCTTTTTGTTATATGTAAATTTCATACCTGCAGTTTACTATTCAGTAACCCTATCATCAATGACTCACATTTTCCAGAAAATATCATCTATCTATTTACTATAATTATTTATTAACAATAATAAAACATGCCATATCCAATGCTGTTCGCTTGACTACTATAAATGGAATCTCAGCATAAAATATTCAATGGTTCAACAAAATTCCTGTTTAATGAGCATTTAACTTGTAAATATTCTAAAATAAACATAGGAACGCGTTAAACAGTAATTAGCAGGTATTCACTCTTGTCTGTAAACGTTTATGATCAGTCCTGTTGCTTATATGACACTATTTTCCGACCCCTAATGCATTTGATGTATGAATTTTAAAGTTATTGTCAGTCGTTTCTCAAAGGATCAGAGAAGGAAGACGAAAATATACGAACCATTGAGTTGATACTCCTTAAGTTTTACAGGAATTAGATTTAGGTTACGTTATAAACGTTATACGTACAGTTATAAAACGTAATTTGTAAATTAAAATAAGTATGAAACTGAAAAACTTATGGTAATAACAGAAGTGTAAATAAACTAACAGTTATGTCTAAAAACTAATAGATTTTATTTAAATTTAAAAAAAGAATCATTCACTAAATGGGTTTTTTGTTTAATATGAAACGCTTTATCTAAATTTTACTATTCCATTATATATTATTACGGTATGGAATTTTCTATATTTATTTATTTCAGTCAGTCAGTCAGTAACAACGTAGAACGTCGTATGTACGTACATCAGTTCGAGTTCCCATATCACATTAGCACAGAGTTGCAGTTGCCGATTCGAATCCCGTAGTGGTAGAGATACCAAGAGTATAAGCAGTAATCGGGACGATTAGGGTTTGGAGATGTTATATAAAGAGTATAATCCGGTGAAATAAATTTGGGAAGATATAAAAGAGACAAGGAGGAATCTGGAGATCAAAATTTGGGAGAACACAAAGAGTGTATGCACCTGCTCCATTGCAAACGATTTTCAGCCATGTCATTCAAAGTCTCTAACCATCGGTTGTTATCATCTCGCGGTCTCCAACCAGGTAGTCTACACCTACCAACATGACTCAGTCCACTTGTCAGTGACTTCATCGACTTGTGCCATCTTTTGGTCTGGCCGCCCCTAGCTTTCTTCCAACCTACTCTTATACAACAAAACATCGCACGTCGAGGCAGTCGGTGGTTGGGCATACGTAACACATGTCCCATCCATTTCAACTGATGAAGTTTCACTACTTCATCAATCGATTTGCCATCCTTTACCTAGTACCCGTTTCGTAGCAACTGCGTTACTTACTCGATGGTCCCGAATACATATGCGCCACACTAGTCACCTGATTTGTGTGTGGGCTGTGATACTTCCCGGGCCGAAGCAGGTGGTTTTATTAGAGGGCCATACCAGGAGCCTTCGATTTAAGGGTCTGATGCACAAGGCAATGGTAGTTGGTGACCAACAATAGGTTCACACGCCATTTGTTCCCCCAGGATCCTGGAGCTTGTGTACACCATTGGTTTGGAATCAGGGTTTTCCAACTCTCCTAAGTGGACTCTCCGTGTTCACCAACCCAGTATGGTACGGAAACATTTATTTGATAATCAACAGTAATGTGTGATGGAAAATAGGTTTACAACTGATTGAAAATTGTCAACGTTTCAATGTAAAAAAAAGTCTAGGTAAATCTACATAGAGACAAACCCTTTTTGTTCATGTGTTAGCAAATTAACAGTAAATCAATAGATAGAAACGGGAATGCTTAATATTTTAAATCACTTTTGTTAACTAGATTGATAATGTTGTAATATTTGCAACTAGTCAATGAAAGAAAAGTATAAATATTACTCTCGATTGCCAACGTATTATTTGCTTTTATTACTCAAAAATAATAACTTGACAGTTTTAAAACTTTAAATAATAAAGATGTTGCTTAAGACTGAAAACAACTTTTTTTTTCAACACACAACCAAATCTATATTGTGATTGAATTGATTTATCACTGATTAATTTTAATACCAAAAATAACGTTTACACTAATTAGGTAAATGAAAACCATAGAAAACAATAAACAGAAAAATCAGTTGTGTGTTTTTTTCCATCAAGATAACAAGTACACACAACAATTATACTAATATTAATTTAGGTAATAAAAAACCGAGTATTTTCAAAGTTATATTAGTTGTTAAACCTCTCACATGTATGTAATAAAAGAATTACCCATTAATTATATTAATAATGATGCCTATATGAGTCTATAAACTGTAATGGGTGAGCATATATATATATATATATATATATATATATATATATATATATATATATATATATATATATATATATATGTTAGTCAAATGATTAAAAAAATATCACTCATCTGTTTGCATTCAAATACCATTTGTCAAGTAACTTGTATAACAACATTCCAGTGTATAAATAATATTATTTGTAATAATAATAATAATGATTATTATTATAAAAAAACCGCGGTATTATTAGTGTTATCTTATTGGCAGCAGTGACATTATTATTAATAATAACAATAGCAAAGATACAAATAAAAAGATTTTCTTTAAAAAAACAATTGTAGAGAAAAGAAAGACAAAATAAGCGTGAAAGTTCATAAAAAACAAAATACAGATAGCATTTATAGAGTAATAATAATCAATATATTCACAGTGAGCAAATAATATAATCTCTGTATGATCGAAGATAACCTAGTCAACAGAGAATAAACAAGAGATTAAAGAACGACTATCTGATGAACTGTTTCTAATATCAGTACTCAAAATAAATCATTACAATAAGTTATCCCAATATTCTACTAAAGAATTTGAATGAATATTCATATGTTTAATAATAGTAATTTCAATGATAATAAGAGCGACAAAGATAACAACGGATTACAAGATGATACAAGAATGAATTGACTAGAAATTATATATATATATATATATATAATGTTTATGTATTTATCTAGATGTTTATGCCTATTGCAATCAAAACGTAATAACAAAATGAACTTCTGATACACACACACACACAGTTCCTTTTTATTAATAATACAAAAAATATAAGTGAAACGTTAGTGAACAAAATTGATCATTGTGATTTTTAAAGTAAAACTGATAAATTATCCAATAGGCTATTTTGTTTTTTTTTCTTTATCTCTAAATTAAAATAGGAGACAATTAATTAATTGATGGAAAAATGAGAGAAAAAATAGTGAGGATAGATTTCAGACTACATAATAATCAATTTGAAGTAAACAAAAAGTATAATTTTAAAAATAAAAACAAACAAACAAATCATTTTACATTTAAACAATTGAAACAATTATGTATTATAGTTAGATTGAAATTGACTAAAAGTTATTCATTTTAAAAACAATGAAAGATTCAATAGACAGATAAAGAGTAAACAATAAATGGAAAAGTATAAAGAAGACGAATAAAATGGTAATTAGGAAAAAAAATAATAAATCACAATGAAAATATCATTGGATTGACAAATTATTAGTTTATTGTTTCATTATATTTTATAAGTTACGAAATAATAATAAAAATAATTAAATATTTATATATTGACTAGTCAATGTAATTGTCACAATACATCCAAAACCGAATAAAAGACCGATAAGATTTGTGAGAAACATTGCCCAACAATTACCGTTCTCTATTCGTTTTGCATCTTCCATAGCACGCATTTCTGGAAGCTACAATATATACATTGTAAGTGTGAGAAAAAAAAACAGAACAATAATACTGTTGTAAGAAAAAGAAAAGATATTTTTTAGTGAGCTTTTATTGAACACTAAATACTACATAGACCAAGTAGAACTGAACACTAAATAAATATCTTAAATGTTTCATAATACTTAATCATATGGATACACTTGATTCAATGATGCAATCAACGACAGAGAACCACATATGATAGGTCAGAACGAGAGTTTATTAATAGCACACAACATAAAATAGTCGACAAGTGAATATGACATTATTGATTATACTAAGTGTAGATGGATATGTTTGTCATTGTTTACTAACTGATCATAGGCTTAATTTCACTTGACACATTAAACATTGTCACGCATTATGAAGGGGGTTATATAGGCTGAATATTGGTCATTAGACATTTGATTTTCTGCTGTGTAGGGTTAACACGCTTTCCAGTCATGTATTCAATAAATTGTGGAAAAAAGCGAGCATCAATATGCGATATTGTAGTACAACGATCATAAAATGAAGTTAGGTACCGGCAATAAGTGAAATAAGAAGTGTAAGTATCTTACAATTAACTAGGCTTATTTACTAGCCAGATGATGTAAAACTTCATTGCCACTATGTGTATGACAGTTTTATGATAATGAAAAACGAAAAAGCTTGGAGCCTACTAGAAATTTTTACCGAAGTCGACAGAGAAATCATTTTAATAAAGGAAGAAGAAAACTGAGAAATCATCTGCTCACTAGACGTCTTATTGACGAGAAGAACAACAATAGAAAATGTTTATCGTGGATCGACTAAACAAAGTTAATATAAACATCGACTGCTTAGATCAAAGAGCCAAAATTATTTGTTCCGATAACACTCTCAAAGAGGAACTAAAATTTATTAATAATTTGCTAGGTAAACACGGATGCCCATCACAGTATCTAAAGAAGCATACGTCTGGAACCAAACCTATATAGAGACTATCAACGGTACTAAAATAGCCTTTATTCCCGAAAATACAGTTCAAAGGTAATATAGCCGGTGAAATAGTAATTCAACGTGTACGAAAAGCTGTAGAGCGTAGATTTAATACACTAAGATTATGCTCTTTTTTTAGTCACCCAACAGTGAGTTCATAAAATAAAGATAAACTACCTAGTTCCCCTAACTACATGTATATTTACCATTCCAAAAGCTCTTACATACAACACAAGTCATAGAAATACATATCAATAAATTTAACCCTTTTCAAAGTGAACCATTTTATGTTATAACTCCACTAAAGGTGTAAATAAATTAGTATAAATGAAAATGTCAAATGTCGATTCACAAGCATGTACGGTTTAACTGATAAACATTTGATAAACAAGGTGATGTGCATTATCGTCATTATTACAAAAGTAATGATAGTGAGTCATTTGAGTTAAAAATTTAATTCCTTTTTTCAAACTTCTAATTAATTCATTTCAATCACACTTTGGTATTTAGGTGCTTTTTTACAGCAAAAACACTTATTCGCCAATTTCTCGAAGTAAATAATAGAAACATACACTACCAATATAGGGTTTCGTGAAGATTATAAAATCTTCGTGCCTTTTATATCACGAACTTATTTAGGTTACATAACTATTGAAAACCTGAAGTCACTAAACGTCCGTTTCGTTCAAGTATGGGACACCTCAGCAGTGCGCAGTTATGACCGCGCATCCAGGAAGTGGCGTTCAACCACGTCAAGTGGGAAACAGCTATCCACCCAAGACAATATAGGATGGTTGCGCAAGACTATGAGTCAATTGAAGTTATACATCAACACTGTTGGATGCCGGGTCAGTAGCCTACAGGTCACACATTCCCTCGCGAGACCTGATAAAGTCCTGGGTTCGGTTCCCGGATGCACGGTCGTGGATAAGTACTCTTGATGAGTCCAAAACTAGGGCGAAGCGGCCGCCCAATGCTTTCAGGTTTTCAATGATGATCTAACTAAGACCAATTCGTGATATAAAATCTATGGATATATTAGTATATTTACGTCGACAAGCCGAATGAACATTAAACGCTACTCTACTATAAATTTCCTAATTAATTACTACCACTTACCATATCTGCAAGAGCAATATACATAAAGAAGCCACCGGTTAAAGCAAATACATATGGTGCTACATCATTTAGATCACCAACAGATAAGCCAACAAACAACCCTATATATGCTGAACACGCAGAAACAAAATTAAATAACATAGCCATTGGTACAGTTAGTCCAGAACGTAGAAGTACAGCAATATCACCTTGAAAATGAAATATAAAACAGGAAGAAAGAGTTATATATTTTTTAAATACTGTTTTTCGGCATGTTTCAAAAAACAAATATACATTATGGATAATGATTAATAGTGAAATTATGGTATTCATGTTCCATGCTATTTGATAAAGCTGTTCATAACAAAGCCAGTCAGTCATTTACTGATCAGATAATTAGTTTGATAAAACCACTTTAGCAACTTATGCTTTAATCGGTATCTACTTAGAAGTTGTCTATCGAAACATTTATACTTAAAATTACGAAACACAAATATGAAGTAGTTACATATTAGCATATTGTGGATAGCTATAATATGAGTGACTGAATATGTTCATTTTAACAGTATTTAGGGATTTCGACAATTACCTAACAACACGTCTACTTACTCAACCTTAGCTGCTACCCTGACGCGGTGGTCGGGTTTGCCTATCCCAATGACTCAACTGAGCTATATTGGCTGGAAAACATGTTCTTTTAGGTTCTTCCATGCAAAGCAGGTAGGTTAAGCCCCAAGGACAAAGTCGTATCGCTGAATGTAGAGAGTTGTGACAACAGGTAAGATGTTTTCCTCGGATAACCAGCAGCTAATCAATGCTGACTCCTCATAACAGGAGGAAGAAGCTAGAAAAGGTCTGCCCAAAAATATCATACCTCACCTCATCACACGGATTTCTTTCTTCGGCAGTAAGGCTGTATAAAGTACGGAGTTAATACATTTAAAGCTCTCCATAAAAAGGCTGTGCGCGACCGGCCTAAAACATTTATCTCTTAAGCTCTGCGGTCACACTCGTAGATCGCCAAGACCACCACTAATTCACCTTTTTTTTCAGTCCCTCAAGAAGAAATATTCTTCCACAGTGTGGGCAACCGGGAAGTGACAACCGCCCTCATACATCCACTGATAGCACCCGAGATCAAATCCCTGCTTAATTCTGAATAATCCTCCCATCCCCACAACTATCTGTTCTCATAATTCTTTATCCACATGCGCCTCCGATGCTAATGCTTTGAGTTCACGAAATGTCATTCCTAGTCTCGTGAAACCACGCTCTAAACTACATGTTGAAGTTTTTAATGTTTAGACCTTGTGTCAGATAGGAAAACAAGCTTCTTTAGCTGCGACTCTAGAGTCTTGCGCCATCGATGTATGCTGTGTATGTTCCGAAACGACCAAACGGGATCCAAGTACGGTAGTTTATTCGACCTCACCTTGTCAGTAGAAACAGTTGGCACAATTTACCCATCGAGTATCTGGAGACCCCAATACTGCTTTCAGCGGCCTCACTCGTGCAGGCATAGTCATACGTTCTAAAGCAGAATAGCCTCTGTAAGACTAAATTCAAATAGAGAGTCGCTTTTACGCTGTCCAACTAAACGGGACAGTAAAAACTCTAGAAAATAGGGACATATCGTTGCCCTGCTTATGCTCTCATTGCTTGTAGCTTGGATGAAATTAAAGAATAATTTTTATAGGAAGATATCTAATCTCATTCGAAAAGTTAGATGTCCTGATGTAGTAATAGTGGTGGGTTATTTTAGTGCTCAATCAGGTAGACAAAACCAAACCGGAAGGCATTCAGTTGGATCTTATGATGTTGCGGCTGTGTAATCAGATAATGGCGACTGTCTGCTGCAACTATGATCAAATAACCATTTATTTCTAGCAAACACCAGCCTTAAACATAAGGAAAAGCATCTTATGACGTGACGACCTGCACAATAAATTCAGCGATTGACTGAAATAGACCACACTGCCATCAGCTATCGTCGGAAAGGCTCAATAGAAGACTGTCGCTCATTCTGGAGCACATGCTTAATTTCAGATCATGCTCTAGCTCGAGCACGTACTTGTCTGAGTCTTACTGGACGTAGAAAAGCCACAGCAAGAAAACCACTTAGAGTTCAACTTAATGATGAAAATGTTAATATATTTCAGGAACAACTAGAAGAGTAAGTCAACCATGAAAGTCATATCTACCCCGAGGTAGCTTGGTATGATAGCCGAAAAGCTGTGGAAAAAACAGTGATATCTACTAACAACTTAAACCAAATGGTAAGGAAAAGTCATTGGATTTCAGCAGCTCCTAATGAACCAACTGACAGATGACCAGAAACATCCCATCTGGCTGCGAACACGATGAGGAGCGGTGGAAGCTTAAACGTAGGCTGATAAAAAGTTTACGTAATGATCGTGAACAATGGTGGATAGCGAAAGCAGAAGAGATGGAAAAGGCGGCAGGGATAGGTAACGGTAGACAAGTGTTCAAACTTATTAAGGTAGCGGGTATTGAAAATCTGGCTATTAGTGAAACTATCTCGGAAAAAGACGAGAGTATTATTCACTCTCAATCCAGGAGATTGGACCAGTTGGTACTTTAGAGAATAGTTCAACTGACCTCCAGCCTGAATGGCGAATTTGTGTAAGTCCTCCAACTTTTAATAAGGCTGAAAAGGCTATAAGTGATCTAAAGCGGACGAGAACAATAGGGCCTGATGGACTAACCTCTAGGATTTTTAAGGGTGGTGGTCTAGCGCTAGCGTGGATAGAATGTTCGGTAAATATCATCCAGCGCTAGCAGTCATCATCAACTGAAATCTTAGCAAAAATCTGGAGACTGGATGTAACCGCATTTGACTGGTTTCGATCTCTGATCGTTCCAGTTTATAATACAGAATAAAAATCTTTTTGTGGCAATCACAAGCGAATCGGTTCGACTAATACTGTCTAAAGTATTATCCTCAATCATACATCGATGTCTAACTAGAGCTCGTGAACAACGAACCCGAGAAAACCTGGCTGGTTTCAGACCTGGATGTGGATGTACAAACCAAATATTCACCCTTCGGCAGATCATAGAACATAGATATACTTTTCGATGTCCGTCAATAGTTGTAACCCTTGACCTTAGGGCAGCAGTGTTTATCATTGAAAGACGTACCAAAAACGAACATTCACCTTGTCCAGGTTCTCTATTCAAACACTAATGGTCAAGTTAGGGCTTATGGCGAACTGTCATCAGGACTAAATACTTCAATTGGTGTCCGTCAGGGTCGTCCGCTTTCCCCATTATTATTTAACGTTGTCACACACGAGGTCTTGGAGATAACAATTTCATCCTCTGACTTTCCAGGAGTTGATCCTCTACAAGGCGATACATTAGTTGATTTAAAATACACAGATGACATAGTTCTGTTTGGAGAGAACGCTGACAAAATGCAGTCTTCTGACCACCTAAAGTAACAATGTAAGCATATTCCGGAAGCAGCTCGCTTTCTCTAAATGTAAAATGTTACACCAAGACTGGCTTACGTCATCACCTGAATCAGTGATAGTGAGTGGAAAAATTGAAGTCATGGACCACCTCACTTATCTTGGGAGTCTCACCAGTCCTGATGCCCTGGTATCTGATGAGGTCTCGGCACGGATTCATAGACGTCTTCGAAACATTGATCGTGTATTTTGGGAACACGGAGCAAGCAATCCCTGGACTAGGCATAGAGTACTAGGTAAATACGATAAATCGATTGATGAGGTACTCAGTCTCCACCAACTGAGGTGGCTGGAGCATATGTTACGTATGCCTAATGAACGGGAGACGTCTGGTGTAACAGCAGATTGAAAGAAAGCTAGGTAAACCAAAACATGGAATGAATCCATGAAGTCATTGAGAATTGGACTGAGCCATGCTAACAGGTGTGAACTACTTGGTTGGGGTCCGCACGATCATCGTAACCAATAGTTACAGATTTTGATGGACATGGTTTAGAACCATTTGCCATGGCGCAGGCGCATCCATTATTTGAGTTTCCCCAAATTCTGAGCTTCTGAATTCCTCATAACGTTTTTTTCATTTCACTAATTCGCATTGTCTTTTATTTGTGAAACTTGAGTTAAATGTATATGCAGATAATCGGTCTACAATAAGATTGTCATGAAAACTTTAAGTATGATGAGATCAAGGACAATAATATGACAAATGTTTGAGAGACGTTTCCTATTTATTCCCTTACTATATCCCTAACTTGACCAGATCCTTAATTTTTTCCGGAATATTGGTAATATGAAGCGGAGTTTGCCAATTCTATCTTAATTAATTAACTACAGAGATAAATAGTTAAGTGTTACACGTAAAGAACATAAGGGGCCTTGTAATGTTTTTTGATTTCACGTGAGCCAGAATGTGATGCGTTAGACTTTTTATAGAACATATTTCGTAACAAAAAGAAGAAAACATGGAAAAATAATTTTACCTAATTCATGTGGAAGTTCTTCACATAAAACAGCCAATGTTAAACTTATTCCTAAACCGATACTTTGAGTAAATCCAACACCTATTGAAAGTCCATCCATAAAATTATGGGCACCATCACCAATGAAAATCATCCAAGCAACAGGTTCTAAATCACGTAGTCTATTTTGCCAACTTTTATGCTTTTTCAGTGTATGGGTCGACTGGATTATTGGTTGTGTATTTATTTGTTTATTATTACTAGGTTTTTGAAGTTCCGTAGAAAGTTCCTAAAACAAATATGAGTGCATAAAAGTTTAAACAGAGAGTGAGGAAATCATAAAATTTCAATCATTTTCCAAAATAATCCTTCATATTATGTAATGTATTATTGTGGAGATAGATAAAAAACTTGAAGATTTTATTCTCAATCATAACACTGAATAGAGCGATAATTTCAACCCATGTACTATGATCCAATTTGTTGAGTTTATTTTATCATATCAGAGAGGATTTTAGAAAATTTGCACTCTCAGAGCTATCCTACTGGGAATTATTATTTATAGTTTTATTTTATAACTGTTAAATACATGAGCTATTGTATTTACACAATGTTTTATGTATCAGCGTTCATTTAGTTTATTAACTGTTGATACACGTTTTATCATTCGTAAATTAAGGTTAATTAATGATTCCTCTATTTCTCCAGGTTTGCATTAATTCTAACTCATGTTGTGTACACAATGTAAGTTCATTTTGCGCTGATGTATGGTTAATTATTTATTATATATTATCGTACGTTTTTGAGTTACTATGAAAGTACATAGAAAATTAGACGGATCTGCTTGCTAACTCTATCTCTTTACTGGACACTGGATTAGGAGTTCGCTGGCCCATAATTATGAAAATTCCTTGGTCGTTACTCATGATCATTAAGTTCCTAATACAATAGGTCATTGATCCAGTTAGGTATGAAGTTGAACTAATCACTTAGCGGACTCGATAAATACAACTACTGTTTATTACTAACGACCCGACCAAGCACGATCCAACAAGAAAAGATTCGTGATGTTGGGGATTAATATCGCATCCTCTAGCTCCAACATGATGAATATAGCTTAAAATTATGTGTGATACATTGAGTGGTTTAATGTCCTAAATAGAGTTTACACTGATAAGACTTGATGGAAATATATATATATATATAATGCAATCAACGGATATACTGATTTGCCATGAATGCAGGATAATCGATATGTCACGGAGATTCATCAATCAGAATCCCAGTTATACCTTTCGTGCCCCGCAAGTACTGTTTCACCTTTACCCTAATCCTAGCGTTGTAAGTTTTGGCCAATGGTAAACTTTAACTGGTACAATCAACCTTGAGTTAAGGCCAAGATCATCTATATTCTTATTGGTCCGCTGATACGCAAGCGTTCTATTTTCAGTATCGATTCTGATAAGAAGGAATACAGCATACAAGTTTTTACTGCTCTATTCTAGGCATTTAGTACTTTAATCTCAAACAAGCGTTAAGTTATTGACATGAATAATTAGATTTTAGTGCACCCCAACAACAGCCGATAAGTTCAAGGGAAGCCTACAACACAAGGAATATAGAAATACAAGAATCCAATTATTTAATAATATAATATACAATAGTTCAAACCATTTCAATATTCCCATTACTTGTTTCGTTACAACACAAAAAGCATCTGATTATTTTTCTTTTCATATTCCACAACAAATATTCACAGTTTTATAAGTAATCATGATAGTATATCTTAAAACAAAATTATTTAACCATATAATTTGTTTTTTTCTCTAATTTATAAAAAAAATATCTTTATTGGAAAAGACAGAAGCATAATTATTTTTAACGAAATGGAATATTGAATTATTCATTAAATATACTTTAAATTATCATAACCATACGGTTAAGAGATAAATGTTTATTTGTACTATGAAAAATCGTATCATTCAACGTTGATCCCTTGATTCGTTGGCATGCGTTAATTAGAACGATAATAATAATAATAATAATAATAATAATAATAATAATAATAATAATAATATCACTATGAATCATCCATGACTACTATATTTACACATGTCATTTTTATTCAGGAAAAACAAAAAATGATTTCATTCCTTAATATCATAATAATGATATTCGACTGTGAACATCCATCTTTACTGTTTGCTTATTTAAACACAATGTATATCTATATGTGTAAATAACTAATGGAATACACATATATTACTGTCGTCTCTTTTTTCTTCTTCAGAAAAATAGCTAATACTTTGTTCAATGATATTAAACTCTATGTAAACTAATCAATATCTGATAATATTATCAATGTTAAGATACTAAAGAAATAGATAAATTCTAGAAATTTCAAAAATTCGCAACTTTTAAAACAATCAAATAACTATTTGTAGTGATTCATTTAACTTAAAGCTCATAACGAGAAAAAAAGATGATTCAAATTATTTCTTTTTATTACACTAAATTACAGATAAAAACAATGTAATATATGTAGCTAGGATGATCTTATGCTACTTAACTGTTTTGTGGTGTTGTATAACAACAACTGTGAATACATCTTTTTTTTTCTCTAAATCATATTACCACAATGGCCTTAGTTGTTATTTGATTGGTTGATTCCATGAGAAGTTTGTTAATATCCCTATCACAAACCCATTTGTTATTATCACATATAGAGTTATTCAATTTCAATTTCAACTGTAGGAATATCAAGCGTTTTTTTTGCACTCTTATCTTCTTCCTGTCTTCCACCAAGTTAGAGATTATTATCGGAGTGTTGTGTGTCAGTAGTCGGTCGTTTCCAATTAGAAATTACCTTATTTGCAATTCTAAACGTAACATATATATATATATATATATATATATATATATATATATATATGCTGTTTCTTGTTTTAAGTGAAATAAGCTTTTTAAAAATAAAATGGAAAGACCTTGGTAATAGATAAGTTTTTGTGAAAATCCACAAAGATTTACAAAAACATTTGAGCATGTGAAACCACTAAAATAATACATATTGTCGATGAAATGTATTAATAACAGATGTCCTTAGAAGATGGCCTTAAAAGTACAAAATGATCAAAGCTGAGAAAAAAACTTAAGTAAATTTAAGATTTGCCTAAACTATTTCACGAATTTCAGCGATGATTATAATCGAGTTTATCTATACAAAAATAACCTGTAGCCCATATATCAAAAATTGAAAACTCGGATTTCATTCTGTTTTTAAGACTCAGTGATAGTGGCGAGACCATAATTTATGGATCAACCAATCAGATTTATGATTACAGGTCTTATATTTTGGCGCAAAATTCACTGACCCATTTGCGTAAATAGTGTTTTGGCATTTTAGCTTATGTCAGTTCATGATGAAAACCCTAAATCTGATTCCTAACCCTAACCATCAACTGAAAATCATGATCTTAATTCCTTGCATTGATTTATAACCCTTATTCAGTCTTAGTAAGTAGATGAACATTCGCAAGATCACTTTAGTGTTGCTCAGAAGCAGTATATAAGTTATAGATTTACCGTTATAGTTACTGAAACAAAAAAATCATAGTGAAAAAAACAGTTTCTAATTCTGTAAATTGAATCAGTCAGTCTATTATAAGAGTAACAAGGTAAAATGAAAAGATTTGTTGGTTATTTTGATATTCATTATGGGTAAATGTTTTGGAAGTAGTACGTGATTTAAACATTTTCAGACTAAAATTATTTTGATCTAATAAAGATCTAACTACATTGACATTGATAAAACATAATACCAGATATTTTGATTTATTACATTATAAATTGATTTGTTTCTTTAAATAATATCTTATTTGCTAAAATCACAAAAAAACTTGATGTTGTGGTGTACAAACACAGATAGCCATTGCGAATGAAAAAAACTATGATCAAATAGGTTTAAAATACCTAAAGAGTAAAAGATTATAACAATTATGTAACACATTGACTGAGAACCAAGTGATTTCGTAAACAATAAACTCATAAGTAGTATGTGATGCAAAAATACTACTAAATTAAACAAAATATAGTTTGCGTAGGATTCTTATGAAATAAGGAAACAAATATTTAGTGTTTCTTAACCTCTTTGTTTGACTTGAAAAGTAAGGTCAGTCAATCCGCTACAACGTCGGACCAGGCACATATATGCATCGGTCCGAGTTGCCATACCTCATTAGCACAACAAGGTGAACACCAAATTCATAGAACTAATTATTTCAATGGTAGTAATATATAAAATAAAAAGGTTGTGTATAAGGATATAGTACAGGAAGAAAGAAGTAGTTTGTAGAAAGAAAAACCTACATTTCGTGCTATTCGACACTCGTCAGTAAGGTTTACCTGTAATCTTGAGGTAAATAATGCTCTCTGGTGGTCTCGATCCCGTATCACCCAGTTTCACACTTAGAGACGGTACCAGTGAGTTATCCGTTCCGGATGATGATGATGATGATAAAATTTGAAGGACCTGACATACATTAAATTGGTCACTATTCTGTAGTCAACCAATTGGAAATAAACAATCGAGAACAGAACAGCGATAAATTCAGAACAGAAAACTTATGCCTTTATTGGGGAACTATGATATGATATGTTTTATCCCTTTTCACTTCCCAACAATATTGAACATAAAACTAGAGTGTCGTTCAGTCGATGTACAGCAATCTGAAAGAATTCTTATGGAAACTATGAAGTCAGAGTTGTGAAGGATAACAGTAAAATCCAAAAAGTAGGACACACTGCTCTTTATCAGTCGTTGTCAAACGAGAAACAAGGTAGCCTAGTCAATTAAAAAGCGTTAAACGTTGACACACAAGTGTATATTAACCGATATATTAGTCAGTCAGTCAGTATTATTTGTGGGTAGCTAGCCTAAACAATCATTTTAGTCTTAGCTACAAAGAAAAATATTTTTAATGATGATGACCCACTGGAGAATTAGGTTTCTTTAAGCTGTAAAAGTTAATGGTAATTTTATCTTACTAGTATGGGTTCCTAATTCTTTTAAGTTGAATCAAGAGACAGAAATAAGTTCACGATGACTAAAACTTTAGACCTCTATCATGTAACTGAAAACAATACAACACTTATGGTTGATTGACACATGATTATGAAAGTTAGAAATATAAACAGAATAGGAATGAGACAGTTTCTGTATAAAATGTAACTTTTCTGACTCAGCATTTTCCGATTCGGCATAATGGCGTACAGTAGTAGTATAACATCATACTGGCATTGTGTATGATAACACTAGTTGTCACCATTGTCCTGATATAAATTATTGAAATAGTAAATAATAATGATAACAGTGATCGGTTAAAGTAAACAAGTTATTCACCTCGTATGATGGCAGATGATTCATTACGTCTTCAGTTGGAGGCGATTCACACTGTAAATCTGTCTCACCAACTACTAGAGACCTGTTCATTGTTTTCGACTGATTAGAACGGTTAGATGTGAACTCAACAATAGGCCCATCTTTATCACCATCTGCTACTGGTTCGACAGGTATTACCAGTGAAGGTCTTCCTTGTTGATGATAAGAAAGTTGATGGTGATGATGATGATTAAATTGATCTATATGAAACCCATTTTGACTTTTGTCATTCGAATGTGTTTTCTTTTTCTAGATATGTGCGAACACAGAAAAAAAATTCAAAGAAGTGAACAACTGAAATCAAGATGGCAATTTAACATATTTTATAAAATAGTAGTCAGTATTATTATTTTTTATTCCAAAAACTATGATTAACATTGCCGGAAGGGTAAATACATTTTTTACTTCTTCAGATCATTTCATTACAAATGTTTCATTAAGATCGAGGATGATTTATAATAAATGTTATCATGTGTTCATTTTATTTACTGCCTTAACGTAATAAACATGTAAAACAGATAAGTTAAGAGTGCTTTAATTAGTAGAGAGCAAGGTCTATGTCTGATGACTGCCGAAGCCGTTCGAATTCATTCGAGTCACCAACAACAAAGGGCTTGGTGTTAACAATATATATTGAGTGAGGTTGATGTCACCTCTGAAAATGTCTTGAACACTGAGTGGAACAGTTCGAAGGACACTGTGACTGGTCCATCGCTGCTGAAGCTCCAAACAGATGGTCATTTATTCGTTATGTGGTGATTAATAATGCAACTACGTGACGGTCCAAGAGAAACTATGCCTCAAATGACCTACTCACAGTCTTTATGGATGAAGAAATTATAGTCAGAGAAATAGAGGTGGGATTGTTAAGAAATTGGTAACAAACTAAGGTTATTCCATCTTCTTATTCATGTATTTAAAAATCCCTGCGTAATGGACATGATAAAAGTCGGAGTTTATATTTATCGTTGATCGTTTTCAAAATATTGGCTTCCATTACGCTCCACATATTGCGTGAAGTTTCTAAAATACTGACTCGAAAGAATTGGAGTGCTTTTGGTTCACGTATTGGATACGTAAATAACATCTTCATCCCCATCAAATATTTGGATGTCGTTACATGTTTTGCAGGACAACAAGCATAGTGTTTTTTGGTATCGGGGTTCGTTTTTGCTTTCTGGAGAGAATTATCCTCTGACATTATATACTGAAGTGTCCAGAGTTTGATAAAATTTCTAAGTCCTGATACAAATTACTTTCAGAAGAGTATGAGTGTTTAATCACTTATTTCTAGATCGCTCCAAACTAACAGCGAGGCTAAACGGAGTTTAACAATCTCGCCATTCTTCTTTAGTTTTTCCACCGATGATACTTCGAAGATAATACTAAAGAAATCATATGGTAGTATAAACTTGGGACCTGAAAACAAACTGTTCAATCTGGAATATACGGAGCAATGTTTTTGTTAGCTTAGAAATATCTTCTCCAAGTTATTTCAGCCTACATATTTTTTATCAATTAGTGATTAGTGTACTAGAATTTACAGATTTCTATGAGAAAGAAAATTGCTAATGATCTGTATAAATTTTTAACATGAGGTTAGTATCAAACAACAGAAGATATACAAGTAAATTGAGAGTTAAATTTCTGATCAGTTTTAAGCCATGATAAAGAAACATTTAGGGGAAACATAATCCACTAATCTATTACTAATGTAACTTCAAATACACTCTGAATCGAAATATTGTGAAAGAAAATTTGGTTGAAAAAAACACTGAATATTCAGTAGTAAGAATTATTATTATTTACATACCTGAAAACACTGTGGAATGAGACGTAGGAGGAATTCCAAAATATAGAAGAAAAATACACCGATACATACGGTAATCGACTTAATAACATACGAGTCGGAATCTTTTGTATTCTTATTACCTGTTGGTTGAAGGATTTGTAATGCCTAAAACAAGAAAGTAAATCCAATGAAGATATACTCTGGTATACACATTAAAAGTAAACATGAATGAGAAAATAGCTTAGCATATTTGAAATATTATTTTTATCCATAGATCAGAAAAATGTTTCCTAGATAGAAATTAACACAATTATAGAGATCTAATTATTGCAGTTATCAGAGACTTTCTAATTAAGTAAACTACAAAACAAACTAGATATAATTATTGTCTTTAACGATAAACCAGTTAAATAAAGGCTGATTTTAATTCGAATACAAATTATCGTACAATTTTGTATTCTTATGAAGTAAATTACAATATAATTGAAAAATGTAACTATTTTATTTAGAAAAACAATGTAATCTAGAAAACATTTAAATGTTCATTTAAATTAAACAAATAAGCTATAAGACAAGCCACTAGATACACTAATAGAGCTGTGAAATAAGTTGAAATCCAGGTAGTTATCAATACGGAGATTTGATTACGTTTGAAAAAAATGAGCTTCACTTCCAGTAGGCCTTTGTGACTTAATGAAATAACAAAATGAGGTTCTAATATAACACTAAGACATTGAATGAGTATCATGCATTATCACAAACTGACTGAAACGGAAGAAGGATAGTTCAGCGAAGAAAACATTTTTCGTTATAAGGATGTCATTTATTTATGCTTTTCAATCTCCACAATCCTATTCTGATATTTATTATTAGTTTTATTTGCTAAAAAACAGTAGTCTATAATAAAATATGATGGTGTTTGATGAATAAAGAGAACCTAAAGTGGTGCCTTGTCATGAAGAGTTCAAGAGGAACAGAAATGAAAAGCTTATGTACACCAGAGGTTAAAGATATCCACTAATTCAAATCTAATCTTTGTGTACAAAAACAGTATGTTTATTCCCTTCCATCGTCTTAACCTTCCTTTCCATACCCCATAATCCTTCGATTTTTATATTCCTACTCCTTTCCAATGAATTTCACAACTATTAATTAGCCATTATTACAACTTTTAATTATTCTGTCCTTAACAAGCATCAAGTGGACAATTATCTTCACCCTAACACCATCCACTAGTCGATTATTACATAACTTATTTTCAAGATTTGATTTCCGTAAACAATTCAAGTCTTTTCTTTCTAAATTACTCAACACTATTGTATTTTACTATGAACTAACATTTTTAGAAAATAAAATAAATATGATTTTATAGCTTAAACAAATAAAATCTTTAAACAGAAATAATTTTCTTTCTGGGACTATATTTATTCTTTTTCAACGATACAATGGGTCTCTATAGTTATTTTAAATGAAATGTATGAATTAACAGATTATAAGTCAATGATCTATAGATATTTTGCACATTCCAAGACTTGAAAATCCTGGATTCAATCACATGTATGCATAATTAAACAGTTTTAAATTAGAAAAGATACATAAATATTTACCTCAGGTATAAGTACAATAATGGAAGTTGATAATAATGAACCAACAGCAGTAGCCACCATAAATGAAAGTATTGTTGGGAAGAAACGATATTTTTTAAGAAGCGTAAATACAATTCCTACAAGAGCACATAAATTAGTTAGAGTGACACAAAGAAATCCATAGCCCAAGCCTAAAAAACAAAATAATAGGATATTTAATAAATTTATAATTCATCAATTAAAATATTTCTAAAAAAAAATGCTGAACAAAACTTCTAGTACAAGACGACAATATGTATTTGTCATTTATATGTCATTTAATTTGTGTTTACTTCTCTCTTTGCTATACTCAATCAGAAATTAATGATACGATTGTTTATAAGTGAAGGGGAAACATTTAAACAACCAAACTTTACACTAAAATTACAATATTTATAAACTATGTACATAAAAAACTTATTTCAAATTGATTGATCACTGACTGAGTAGTGACCAATGTCATATTTATCTAGTCTTTTGGTATTCATCAACTAGACAGGAGGTCAGCCACGAGTCTGAATAGCTTAATGATAACGTTTTACACTGAAACTGCATGATACGGGTTCGAAACCACCAACGATTATTAGTTTCTTCAAGATTACACGTACAAGTTGCTGATGAATACCAAATTGCATGAAACCTATGTATAGAGTTTCCTGTCGACTCCAAAAATCTAATGTGATAATTGATAAGATGTGATGTAGATTAACTTACCGAAGGAGTCAGTATACATTTGGTAAATTTACCAGATTACTTAGACGTATAACACTTTAGTTATGAAATTATGTACATTACAGAAAAAATTAGTGTATTTAATTTACAGATCACAATAACATAAGACATAGACATGAATTCACTATAGCAATTATCTAACAACTACATTCACACAAAGAGCTAAACAGTACTATTGAGAATACACAATAAGGTCTACTAAGTTTGGAATTTGGATTCATGAAACTCAGTGTTGCACTAAATAGCTTGAAGAATTAACAACAAATAGAATAAATCAACATGATTAGCAAAACGGATAAGCCTAATCGAAAGGATGCGAAAGTAACTATCAGTTAGTATCTTTAAAAATTGTGAGTTCACGAAAAGTATTTTTGATATTACTTGAAATCCTGATTGATTATGACAAGCATTATTGAACAATATTAGCTACAATGAAATTTCTTATTGAATTTCAATTCTGTTATTGCAGAATGTAAAATTTAACAAATAAAATAGCCTGAAATTATCAAAACATCCTAATCCATTTAGTTTATGATATGATCACTTGTAAACGCTATTGAAATCCTGGTTTGTATATTCGATATGTTCGCACCTAAGAGCATGTTTTATATCACAAGTAACTTTTTAGACTAACAAATATTAAATATTTCGAAGCTTAGTTCTTGACTTCTAGTTCTTTTTTTTAGATAATGCTCTGTAATTCAAATCAATGACCGTAACGATAACCCTGTCACTAATAATAATAATATTGATTAGCCAAGGACCGCCATTTTTTCGGGTCAACATCGAACTCTCATGAGGTATTTTTACTCTAATATATGTTTATGACAAAAAATTACACAATAACTTTCTGATTGACAAGTGAATTATTAGTTTCTTTTTCCTAATATTTAGGGTTAAACATGAAATAATATTTAATTAATTAGGGTTTAATTATAATGGTAAAGCTTACTCTCTGTAAACGATGGAGCGTTCGGGTTTGCCTTGGAACTATTGTTAATTAGCGACTGATTACTGTTGGACTTTAGTTAGAACAAAAAAATAAAAATTACTTCACTACAGAGAAAATTTACAGATTTCAATTAGAAAATAGGTAGTGAAATTAACGATAAAAATATTAACTTATGGGTATATAACTGTGTACGTTTCCTACTTATATATTAATGTAATAATTTTCACAGTTAACTCTTGGAGTAAAAGCCTGCTGAAAAATAAGCTAAACGTTAGTCGATGTTTGGCTACAAGGCAACATATATCATAGTCAATGATTTATATGAACGTTTATGTACCAGTCAGTAATTGATAATTTACATTTTCAATGTTGATATTGAAATAGAACATGAAGAAGACTGTATAACATAAGCAAATTATATACCGAGAAGGATAAAAATGGGCTAATAAAACATGATTTAGTTTTAATCTTTTTATTTGATAAATCCCCTTATGCCTGAACATCACGTTTTTTCTACATCGTAACAACACAAATAATTTCTAGATAACTGATGACGTTTAAAAGTGAAAATTATGGTATTCATGAAAGTTAGTATACGTAATTTTAGTGAATATTAATGATTTATTAAGACAGTTTTTTTAAGTGCTTTTGTGAAACAGAATCTGTAAGAAAAAATGGACTAACTCATTTATAAGATCCTGTAATTAGTTTAAAATGTTTAGTACACACTATTTTAGAAGTAGAGCCAAATTTATTAAATTTTCATCAAAATTTAATGAAAACCTCCTACACGAAACCATGGACTCAACACAAAAATGACTGCATCTTCTCTTACATTTATCGGATGAAACTTGATTCAATGTATCCTCAGATAATCTCTTAAACTAGGCGGACTGATTGAATTAATTAGGTAAATTCAAGGCCGTTAATTAGGACTTCTATTCTTCCTTTCACTGATGACAGACTGCTACTTCAAAAAATCGACAGAACAGTATTTGTTATGCTATTAAATAATTCATCTTAGCTTTAAGCCAACACCTAGTTAAACTCGTCAATTGAATGGCATTTGTGTCATGTGACCAGGTACCTGAATGATCTACTGCCTTGTGAAGACAATAATTTAGAGACACCCACAGTAAACCATCAAGAATGCATGTACTCACACTTATTCCTACACATATATAGTTGTCAAAGCTTAAACGATTTTGAGGCGAAAACTTATGCTACAAATATGTGCTGTTGAAATTGTGGTTATTATAAGAAAAACAACTGCTGCTTTTTTGTAAACAGAAATTCGAACGATATTTGTAGCTCAAAGTACGGATCTTCTCAACAATGATACTGTGTGTAAAAGTGCAGCAGTTTAAACTTATCATAAATCTTGTAGTAAATAATAATATTTAAAGTCAGATAATCACAACACAGTAAATAAAGATTTGTTCGAGAATAAATACCATAGCATACAAGTATGTCGACAAGTAGTACTGCTGCAACAAAAATAAGCTTACTTGACTCGCTATGACCTCCTGACATTCAATTCCACTCACTAGAATGATAAAATAGATCGTTACGGAGAAAGCTCCAGATAACTTGTTGTTCTGTTCCATTTTCTACAAAACCAAGTGACATGTTTTTATTTATTTCAATGAGGATATCAAATTCATTTTAAAATAGATCATTTTGCTTAATAGAAACGAAAAACGTTAGGAAAAATATCCTAAAAATACTTTTAAACTCGTTGAAATGAAATTAGTATGAAATGACAGCTCGTAAAGGTAATGAAATACAATGGGAATGAAATAACGATATGAAAACTATAGACTAATTTCACAAACCTAGCTGCATTAGTTCCCATTTACATTTTGGCGGGTATCTACGTTCCTGCACTTAAACGTCTCATACTAATCAACCGTATAATCGTTATGACAGTAATTCTCAACGGTGTATAAACCAAAGTAGTCAAAAAAACTTATTTCAGACACATGATTTATATGATATAACAGATAATTAGAAAACGAGAGAAGAGAATGGATGAAGTGGTATTTACGAAGGGATAAGTAGACAAATGGATGTTTGTTTATGTGTGTATAGTTTAAACAACTTAAGTTTCAGTAAGCCGAATAAATATGTAGACAAATGCATGATAAATCTGTACATAGTCATTGACATGTAAATTTAGATAAATTATTAAAAATTAAAGTAATTCTACTTATCTGTCGAATATATTGACCTAAATGCTAAGTTGGTTTGAATCTGTAGGTAAGGGCATTATAACGGATCTTAAAATGTAATTACTATTTTCTTTTGGTTCCTTACTTTCTTTGTTGTAATGAGAACCACAAATTCCGTCTAGCCAAAAAGTAAGATGACGAAATCATAGATATCAATCGTTTGTAAATTTGACGGTACATCTTTTCATTATTTGTGGCACAATCAATAAGAAAAATGGACAATATAGTCCAGTAAATGAAGTTTGGTATATTTAAACAAATTTAAGTATCATCAAAAAGTGTACGGACTATTCTAGAATCATGAAGTGTCTGGGTTCATGTAAAAGGTGCTTCCAAATACTCTTATTCATTGGTGATCAAATGACTTCTCACAAACTTGCATATGCAATAAAATAGTACGCTTAATAAAGCCTGTTTCATAATCGGCTTTCATAAATTTCATTTATGCATTCATTTTCCAATAGGTTTACTAGTAAATAAAGACAAGGAATATACAGACATTATGGGCCATTGTTATTAATTAATAAAATTTATTTATTATTTATTTGAACACATAAATATTGGTACAAAGGGGCACCGAATACATATGCGCCATACAAGTCACTTGATTTGTATGTGGGCTGTGATACTGCCCGGGTTTGCAGACTGGAGCAGGAATTAATAAAATGAAAATCAACCACTGTCAAAAGATAACGTTAGTTGTTTTTATGATGGATGAAGGAAGGGTTCTCTCGGTATGCTTCAAGAAATCCACTGTACAATGTGCAGTTTTCAATCATATAAGTTCATATAGTTTTTCAACTTTATTCAGATTATTACAATGACTGTTCCTTGAATAGAGGACGGTAAAACGGTGAGCTTGTGGGATATCTGATAAAAGGTGAGTACACGAAAATTAAACTGTACGGACTAGTTGTTTACTCTAATTGAAATTGCCAAACCGTGAGAAAAATATTTTAAGCACATAAGCTGGGTGATAAATAGTTCAGAAGTAGGCTTTTCAATATGAAAACTGATAACAGATGTTGTAGTAAGACTAAGATTTAAAGGTTAAATTTTCATGCATTCATTTAATGTTTAGAACTTCATTTTCACGAAAATGATCCTCTGGTTAATTAGCAATATTGAGGGTCTATTGTTTAAAAAAGGTTAAGTATTGCAATTACATAAAAAATTCACCAAACGGTCTCTCCAATTGACTGGATATTATTTACTTGGTAAGCCCAAAGCGAAAAGTGAAATCCACTCAAGATGACCTAGGCGTTTATATTATTACAAGTTTTTAATAAAGTGACCGTTATATCTTTCTATTATAGTGCTCACGCGTTCGTATACGACAGTTCATAAGATGAAATTTACAGATAGGCATAAATGTCGTGCAAACCCTTCATCCTTAAATCTAGAAAACATTAGAATGCAGAAAGTCTATTTAGTTCGTTTAAAAACTTGTTACCTAAATGTGTCTGGATTCTAGAGTTGGTTTTCACACCATTTTGACGTTTGGAGTTACAGATACTAGGTTCAAGTGTGAATATTAACTCTGAGTTCTACGGACACCCAAAGGACTGGAAACCAATGTAATGAAACATAAGTACTGGCCAACTGTCTCAACTGCTGTTGAAGAAGTAATCAATCAAAACAAACAGCAGCAAGGCATTCTTTTTAGGAGCTCTACGAGATTCATTCCATGTTTTGGTTCACCTAACTTTCATTCAACCTGCTGTTATACCAGACTTCTTCCGTTGACGTAGGTGATAATTGGGCATACGTAACACATGTTCTGGTCACCTCAATTGGTAGAAATTGAATACCTCATCAGCGAATTATCGTATTTACCTAGTACTTTATTCCTAACCCAGAGATTGCTTGCTCCGTGTTCCCAAAATACACAAGCAATGTTTCGAAGACGTCTATGATCGGATAGTAGTAACCTTCGAATATCCTCTACTGTTAATGACCATGTTTCACATCCATAAAATAGAACGGAGCGAACTCGCCATTTGGTTGGAAGACGGATATCTGGCCTGTGCCACATGTAACTAATGTGCAAACAAACCAAATAAATTTAACCCTAACAGGAGAAGTGATTGATGGAGTTAATAATTTAAAGACAAAAGAAGACTCGATGTAATTTCCACAAGTAGTGACACTATTCTTATAGACATCCTTTGTGAAACACTAAAGTGATCTTGAAGGTGCACCTGATAACTAGGACCAAATGAGGGTTATAAATAAGTGTGAAAAATTAGTATTATGATTATCGGTTGATGGTTAAGGTTAGGAATTAGATTTAGGGTTATAACGACAAAACGCTATTTAGCCAAACGGGTAAATGAAATCCGCGCTAAAATGAAACCTGTCATCTCATGTCTGATTGGTTTGCCCATAAATTATAGTCTTGCTGCCTGATAATCAATATTATTATATGACGTAAGAAATAAGACATGCACTAAATGTCACTGAGTTAAATGAATTTTTTTTAAAATATTTTGAGGAATAGAGTAGTTTACTATAAAGGCATTGTGCAATCGGTACTTAACGCGAATAATCTCAATAACCCTCAGCTCATTTCCAATAGGATTAAGTCTTAGTTGTGCAGAAGGGATATTATTATTTGCAAAGACTATAGAAATGTAAAACGAAACCTTAAAACGTTCTAATGGCATGTTTTTAGAAAAACATTAACGTTCCGACCGGCAATAGATTTTAACTTACAAATTGTGACTATAACTGCCAATTACTGTTGGAAACACTCCAATGACAACAGCTACAGGTTTATAATCCAAGCGAGTAACCTTGAACTTTGAAAGGTGTGCAAGCACATTGGGCAATGAATCGAAAGGTGAAGCAATGTTCAATGAATATTGTTTATTTAGCGAATAGAATGTATTAGACAATGTTCATGCCTTCGAATTTTTCCACGAAATTGCGTTTGAATCATTCGGTATATGTACTCATTCACGTACACTTTTCAGTTGTCAGGGCTAATGATAATATTTAAAGCGCTTTGTGAAAACCCTCGTGCTGCGTACTATCGTAAAGATACTATCTCCCTTCAACTTTTTCAACAAAGGTTCTCAGATTGTGTGTTTTGGCAGAGGATCCCAGTAATCCACCACTTGATGAGTGAATCTAAACTCTGGGTGCAAATTATTCTATATCACATTTTGTACTATCTCCAGCCTCCAGAAATTATAGTGTTAAGCCAGTTAGTCTATGCTAATCCTTGGATCTTTTTTTCCAGCTCAGATCCATCTCGTCGTTCAAATTATTTACTATTAAGGTTTTTCCAGTCCCTGACAACCACATAAGAATAACGGAACCATTTTTGAACTATTTTGCTTAAATCTTGGCGATGATTAATCCAAGCCGACGAAACAACCTGGAATCCAATTTGTTATTCTTAGAAGTCACACCACACGTCTTCACTCCGCAATACAACTATCCATATTCATGTGAACACGTCACTACCAATTGCCTTATTTGTATTCGATTGTGCGTGAGAGTGACATTCATCAAATGACATCATCCCCATCCCCTTACGATTCATAACTCTTTCACTTATATTGTGGATCCACTCAGTGTAATTAGGCAAAATTCTAAATTTAGGATGAATCACGTTTTAGTGACAGCATTCACATCAGATCTTGATCCCCTCACTATTACACTTAGCTCAAACCTTTCATTTCGAAGGCTTTGAAGGTTTATGTAGTACAATACTATTGCGATGATCACCAGCCCTATCCAAACAGATCTTGTAAGCGTTAACTTTTAAGATCTTATCACTCGATAACGTTAAACCTCGAGGAGGAATCGACCATTTTTCTTTCGAGTTTGTAACTGTGTTTGGGCACCCCTCAGCTTGATGCGAGCCCCATGTGACAAATCTTACTTTCTAAGAATATTGAACTCACGACGTCTATATGAGCAATTTAATGTAAGGTCCTTATCGATTTGCATCCACTTACTAACTTTAAGATCATTCTTGATTAGGTCTCGCACTAAACCCACTTGTTGTCTTGTTATCATGGTAACGTATACTAACCGAGCACCTTCTGCTGCATTACTTTCCTAATAGATGACTACACGAACTGTGAACCAAGCACATTCAGTATAACAGACTCATCAGCTTTCGACTCATCCATACTCCAAATGGACAAAGTTAAAATTAGATTTAACTCCCTTAAAAGTCTTGTCAGTGGCGTTTGAATGGCTCTCTGTTTTGCCTTTTTAATAAACCCATCCTTACTTGATATTTAATTTGTCGGAGACAGTTTCTCTCTCTTCACATCGTATGGCTGGAATCACCCAGGTTAGCTGTATTTCGTAGAAATGCACTTTCTATGGGTGGCATTGTTTTTATCTTGATAGCATATTATATTACTTACTTACGCCTGTTACTCCTCGTGAAGGAGCATAGGTCGCTCATCCAAGCCTGTCCTGAAGTTACTTTTTTCACCCTGTGAGCATGTCGAAAATGGGATTCTCGACCCGTATCAAGAGCTTTGCTGACAGCGCTAGCCAATGGACTGATAAACATTTATTCTTCGGGTTTCAAACTCATCGTAGACGACACAGTCGTTTTATTGATTTTTTAACCATAGTGAGGAGTTATGCGCCGTTCTCTACATGACCAGGATGGGGCTGGTATGCAACAACGTTTATACAAGGTCGGCTATAGATTGGTAGGTATTCTACGGAACTATGTTATACAGCTGTCACACTGCATACCACCTCTGGCACGAAAAACGCAAAGCAAGGGACCATAACAGTAAGTAGAAGCAAAACTTTTGACCAGCATTGTGTGGATTAGATAAGAAGTTCGAAAGATAAAACATATAATGTGTAAAGTGGAAACCATAATTGAAATACTTATATAGGGAGTTCGGCTGCAGAAGGTGATCTAATAAATCAGTGTTAGTCCGGATTTGCAAAGTCGCTCTCGTTTAGTGTTCAAGGTCTTTTGAGTCGCTTGTGTTTTGCGATTATATAAAAGTCCTAGTTTCGCACTGAATTACAATTTTAATCTAACAAAATTATATTAGGAAAAACGCAAAATATCTTTCAAGCCTACCCCTGTCTGTATAGTCAAATGTTTATCCAGCACAGAATGGCATCCTTCACATTAACTTCTAGATATCTCTCTGAGGTCAGAGAGATCTGCAGATCAACACGGCATTGAATGATCGAAGGCTTACTCGAATTAGACGACGATGATGTGATCGATCAGCTGACGTTGATGCCCCACCTCACAGATATTACCTAAAATGGATTACCTTTTCGTCGTACCCGGGTACTATAGCTCCTTTGATAATCGTACAACACAAACGGCGTTATTACAAAAATGTATTAGTAAGAGCAGGTACAAGAACAGAGTGCGACCACCAGCGCAATTAGCTGATGAGCGTCGGTTGTCCTTGACAAGGTCGGTGAGCTGTTCAGTATTCATTGACCCGACTACTGGAATGATGTGGTTAGAATATAGTGGCATTTCACTAAAGCTACATGCCTTTCATGATTTTGATCTTCGTTCATTTAACCTTTCTTAGGATGCAAAATTAATATTGTAAACTAAGGCTTGTTGCTTTGAATTAATACCTCGACTGCAATCGTTTCCAAGTACCTGTCTTAATAATACTCCCATAACATACATTTAAACTAGGTTGGCAATGTGAGTTGACCCATTCGAGGTTTCTTGGACGCTAGGTGTTCTGAAAATCCTTTAGGTCACGTGATTTCATCAATGTCCTGAAGTTTTTGTATTGTCAAAATGTACTCAATATACCGAATAATTTCAGAGTAAATACTAGCACAACCTTTGGTTTTCTTGAACAAAATCTTTTTTGAACGTTTGCTTTTACAGTAACTCACAATCCACTATTCGATAATGACATTATTATTAAACTTTGATAGGCATGAATATCATACTACTTCCTTCTTCTGATATGTCAATAATCTCACTTTGCTCCCTCAGGTAGCTTTCCCTAGTTGTTTGGCCTAACCTTTATTGAATAGCAACTTTTATCTTAATCAAATTGCTGCTTTCAACACATAGTTTGCAGTATATTCTATACGTTACGCTTGCGTTATTTCTGACTGCATTCATGTGCATCCGTTACTAAACGTAAGTGCGTGTTTTATGCTTACTGAGTCATCTGCTCACTTTTTCTCTTATTTATTTCGCTTTCGGAATTTCTCACATACTGCTCCTCGCACCTTAGCGTTAGACGCAAACTTACTGAAAACGAAAAGTTACAGATTGTTAAAGTTTGATCACTTCAAGATTATTCAGTAAACTTTTTAATGTGTATTATTTCAGACATCTGGTACCTCATCATCCTCTTTTCCTATCATGGTCCATTATTATTATTAACTCCACTTCCGAGGTTACTATGCTGCAACACAATAATTGGGATTTAGGACACAGCTTTACAAAGACTTTTCCAACATAAAAAGTACAAACCTTTCGACAAAAATAACAAGCGTTGGTAACTTTCACATAATAACAGTTGTTTTCAGAAGTTGAACGGTGTACAAAAATGTATGAAAACTGAACATGGGTACAAAGGGGTAAAAATAGCAGTTCCAAGAATAAAGACCCTTGAAAACCGTTGTAGTGGTAAATAAATCCCCAAGATAAATAGCACTGTAAGTTTTCGACATTGAATGCTGACCACATTAGTTTTAATGGACTCACCTAGCTAAAGGCACTCGGTCATGCATCCGCACCAGATCACGAGTGGGAACGCCGTGCTCAACAACCCCTGTAATCGCTGGCCAGATTAGATCATTTGGTTCACGATATATTGATAGCCTATCAAATGTATCTTCGAACCTTTTCGCTCTGTCTTTTGATTTCACTTGATGGGTACGCTTCATAATAGGTGTTACTGGTTAAAGCGTTAGTATGATTAGTATGATGCAGTTTTTGGCTATTCACATCACTTACTACTCTGTTTACCCTAATAACAAAAATTCGCATGCGCTTATCCAACATCATAGTCTCTCACTCGTTACGTCCTGCCATAAAATTCAACGTAAAGAAATATAAATTTTATTCGTAATTGTTTGATACTGGTGAACTGAATACATATTACACACCCGGTAACGTCAGTGTTCATTACGTTTTGAGGATCAGTGTGTGTTTGGAGGGTTTGAAATGAAGTCTCTTCATCTCACAGAATTCATTGTTTCTGGTCTACAAGGGATTTTAAGCGGGACTGATTGGGTGATACTGAAATGCCAGAATAAGGATATTTGAAGATATAATGCATAACAGTTTTGCACTTCGTTGTTTAATGCTGTGTAAATTACAAATGTATTCTTAAAATAAAAGTTAACAAGTTGAGTTTGGGTAAAGAAGTTGTTAAGGATGGTCTAAAAAATCAAGAGATGCCAGTTATTAACAGTAAGATTTACCTTTTTGTTGCTTTTCAAGAACGCGGCTTGAAATCAGTCTTTGTCGACTCTTTAATATTTCGTCTATATTATAGCACTTAAATTAATACACTTCGATTCCTCGAGATTCAATATAAGCCACATTAAGCGTTCAAGCAAATTAATTACCACTTTTACAGACGTAAAATATGCCGTAACGCATGACGGCATCGCCTGATGGCCAGAGTATTGTTAGGCCTGTTTCAGTGTATGGCATCTTCTTTAGTAATTATGTAGTAGGTCGAATTAATGTTAAGGCGATTGCAGACGTCTAATGGCAACAAACGATTTCAGATTCCATGCATTCAGAAACAGTAGTCGCATTAACGCGAATTTCATGTAGACTGCGTATTGGTGCATATTGGCGATGAGCTCTGAT